AGGGATATACGATCTCCCTAGGTAACACAATCTCTATACGCAGTTTTGTGTTTTGCGGATTTTTGCGCACCAATCTTCGCACGACGACGAACATCTTTTTGGGAATGGGGGATTTTTGTTTTCTTGTTCTTCCGCTGCGCATATGATGTCGCCCCCAATGATTCCCCAACATATACAATATAGTCGGAGCATTGGTTAAGCTGTAAGATATCACTAAAAACTCAAATAATCTATACATGGTTACATAGGTAGTTTCACTTCATCATCTTTAGCTATGCGCGCTTGCTAGTACCCTGACTAAAGGTCAAATTTGAAGAAATACTTTCATTTACCTAATTAGTCAAATAAGCCTACGATGAGTGGAATATAATACTTATTTTTCACCATCACCTTATTTAAAGCTCGATGATAATTGCATAATTAGAGACTCTTATTTTATTTCTTTTGAAAGAAATTAGAACCTCGAATGGTGTTTTAGAATTGTAGATGAGACCATCTATCAGTAATTCATCTAATTGTTTCATGAGCTTTATTGACTATAGAGAGGGCATGCAGTATGGTAATCTCATTGGAGGCTTCACGCTCGACTCTAGTTCGATGCAATAATTCATGCCTTTACATAGTAGTATGATTTTTAGTAACTCAGGTGGCGTAATATTTATGAACTTTTTAAGATGTTCGTTAAGCAGATTCATGAGTGACCTCTACATCGTCAAACATATATACAAGTAAGGAAAATCGATAAATAATCCATTGATGGGTGTTACGGGTGTATAATGATCACCTTGTGACACCAAGCATCATTGATTTTAGATGCGATAAATTATGATGTATCATAAACTTTGAATATGGTTATATCAAGCTATAAATAGGTAAGCCCAAAAAGTGTCATTAATTTTTTTTTTATCTTAGATGCGATCATATCAAATCCAAAAGCATCAGTATCCTTTGATACAATCACATTGAGCTATGAAATATAGTAAGGATGTGACCATACATATGATAGATCTAGAAGCTTTTTTTTTTGTCCCATTCTCGTGAGATGGACATACAAATCAACCAACTTCCGATGACAATTCCCAACACGGACCCACTAGACTCTTCCCGAACAGTGTTCTTTCTGGGTCCGGTTTGGAAAGGTCAAAAAGGAAGAGTTGTCCATTAATTCTAAGGGAAAAAGACACCCAAGGAAGGACCATTCCTTCTCTGACTTAGCTTCTTATCTCCTTTGTAATTTACATAGTCCACAAGTCAAAATCGTCTGTTAATAATCGAAGGTGGGGTTCATTGAATATTTTAATTAAATTACATTTGAAAAAAAATATCCTTCATTTTAGAATTCTCAAACAGTATTTTTTTTAATATTTTAAACATCCTTAATATTTTTACACTATGTTATTTTATTTTTAATAATATCAAAAAAATATTATAATATAATATATTTTTTTAAAATACTACCATGTTATAGTGCTTTCTTAATATTACTGAAAATATTATAACGAAGTATAAAAATATCATAAATATAATATATATATATATATAATCATATTATAGTATTTATATACTAAAAAATATTATAATATTATGAAAATTATTATAACTGGATCGGTTCAGAATCAATCCATAAGAAAAGGCAAAAAAGAGAAAAAAATATTTCAGATATTAGATAATAAAGAGGCGTTGTCTGATAATTCTGGAGATGGGGATATTTCTAGAAAAAAAAATCCAAAAAATATAATTTTTTTCGAAAATTTGTCCTTACATTTATTGAGAATTTTCTTTGATTACTCGTCCATTTAATCCTTGTCTCGATGAAGGCGGTCGTTGCCTCCAAGAAAACTGCCGGTAGCTACTGTTGCGCGAAGGAAGGCCAGCTGTGATTCCTCGTGGGTCCCGGATAGTCTATCGAATGATCGAACAGGGTGCCTTGGGTACGAAAGGTAAGAAGTGTCTTCTACCGGGGGAAAAAATACTGGCGATACAACGAAGACCGCTTCCCGGATCCCCTCCATTTCATCCTCTAAGTAGATCTCTACAATTTCCTCATCAGTGTCGTTCAACTATGTCGACCCCACCCTTTTCCATCCATGAAAAATGACGCGTCACATTTCCATCCATGCACTAGTTGGACGGGATCCCTCTTCACGGGCTAGTAAACGCTCCCGATGGTACCCTGCTCTCCCATATCTCACGCTCTACTCGCTAGTGGCCTCCTCGCCTCTCCATCGGAAGTTCAACGAGCTCGCGAGATCCATTTTTCCGTCAATTCCGCGGTCGATCGGAGTTACGCTGCTGCCCCCGCTTTTTTCTCTGATATTTTGGTCGATTTTTTCGGTATCCGTTGAAACTCGTTACGTTTGCTTTTCGTGGAGTCGTTTGATTGCTCTTGGCGTAGCGGTATTCTTCGTCCTTGTTGTTAGGGAACCCCGTAGTCGGATTTCTTGAATAGACCGATCTGTTTCTGGGAATTATTTCCTCGTCCTCCTTTGTTGCTATTCTTAGGTAATGTTTCTTTGAGCGTCTTTGAGAAACTATTTTGCGTTATCATGTATCGATTTTAATTGGAAATCGACCTCACGGGATGAATTATTGCTCCAATTAATGTGTTTGGTTAAATTTCTTCTTCTGGTGTATTATCGTCTTCCATTGGGTTTATGTAGCTGGTAGAGTAGATATAGCTTTCGAGGAGGATGATCGTCTTTGTCTTAACTAACTGGATGTCGTTCTCAATCTAATAACTTCTCTCTGATCTTGCCAATAGTCTTACTCGTCTTTCGGGTTTCGAATCCCTTGTTTAGAATTGCTTTTGCTCTGTGTGGAATTGGGATTTCTGATTGTAAATGCATAAAGATAGTGATTCTGTTATGTTGTTTCAGGTTCACAGGACATCAATAACTGACACTGTGTCTTTTGAAGCCGTTGTTTTATTGAGCCTACTGTTGTTAGCAGCCTTTGGGATTCAACTACCACTGGAAGATATCATCGACTTTATGGTCCAATGAGGTTCAATATATGATGGTTGAACAGGTGTTGTTGCCCCGGCACCGGTTACCTGAAAATTATGCCTGCTCCACGCCACAGAGCCCGCTCAAGAAGGCCTCTATGGATCATTGCCATGATATTGTTGGTCTGCACGATGCTAATTGTGCTATATGTTTATCCACCCCAGCGTTATTCAGCATGCTACTTGATGTCTTCCCATGTCTGTAGCCCTTTGATGGAGTGGCTTCCACCTGTGCGCACTAGGGTTTATTCTGATGATGAACTTGCTGCTCGTGTTGTGATTAGAGACATTCTATCAGCACCAGCTGTGGAGTCAAAGAATCCTAAAATCGCTTTTATGTTCTTAACAGCAGGTTCACTGCCCTTTGAAAAGCTCTGGGAGAAGTTTTTCCTGGTACAACCCTTGTCTTGATATCCATCTTTTTAATTATATAATCATTTGCTACCCTGCCTGTATTCTTGGTTATTATAGCATTTGTAACTCATGCAAATTACAATCTAGGAGTGAATTTCAATTCCAGGTTGAAGAATGATCACTTTACCTAACTTTTCAAAACATGTTTGTGGACTATGCTCATTCACTATATGGCCGAATGTTAAAGTGATCTCTTATATAAGACTTGAATGACTACAAAGTGAGAATTATGAAAATAGAAGCCCATATTGGTATGTTATTCAATGTAATGAGATGTTATTTGTAATAATAGGTATTAAAAAGGGCAGCCAATTGCTTCCATAGATGCAGTATTAATTTATGAAATCTTATTTTCACAAGCAGAGAGGTTGCTTGTGCTCAAACCCTTGAGATCTTGGTTGTAGAGGAATGAGTTTACTATAAATAGCAAGGCTCACTATCATGTGACAGTATTATATTGAATTCTATGTACAGCTATAAAAGACATTAATGTTTTCATCATTTGGGTTCTGAACTCTATCTTTCTATGTTCCGGTCTTGGTTCAGGAGTCTTTGTGAATCCTTCAGAACTTTATGAGGTCTAGTTTTGCATGAAATTGGGATTTTGTATTCGTATTTATCAATTTATACTTCTTAATAAATGATCTTTTACTAGCTATGAGTGTTATTAACCCCTATGTCCAATCAATAAGTCGGTATTATTTATAAACTACAAGGATCAACTGGACCAGACTTTATTCAAAAAAACTACCAGGTACTATTCTTTTTATTCCACCCTCTGTTTTGATGTTGTTCTTTATGTTCGTTCGCAACCATGGTTTTCCTTATGCTGATGAAACTTGTATGCACTTGGATTAACTTAGCTGTTATTTTCATGAAGCACTTTAGGGTCTATTGCTATAAGACAGCAACAGCTTGGAATATTTTTATGAAAGTTCTAATTAATAGGTGACATCTCCAATCTGATGCAATCTTGACCTTTATGTACAGGGTTATGAAGGTAGATTCTCTATTTATGTGCATGCATCAACAGAAAAACCAGTACATGTGAGTCCTTTATTCATTGGCACGGATATCCATAGTGAAAAGGTACTCTTTCAACAAGTTTCCAATATCTAAATTGATTTTTCATTTCCAGTCAGAAACAAAGTGCATGGACTACTTTAAGTTCTGCTAATTGCCCTGAAAGTATATATAATTACCAAATATAATGTTGAAGAAATGTAAATGTACTTCATTGGTTGCACAAAGGAACTCACTTTGCTTGATATAATGTGTAATTTATTCAGCTAACATATAATAAGAATATAACCAAAACCAAGCTTGCTGTCTGCCAAATAACTTATGTTTGTCAAGAAATATATTCTTCTCTTGTTTTTCTGGGTGCTTATTAATTGTATAATGTAATCCAATTCCTATGATTTTCTATGCATTGTCAGAAATTCTTTTATGTAAGGTTAAAGAGCTTTTTCTTAAACATATTCAACTTTCTAATAATATCGAAACACAATTCTTTTGCTAAAGGTTATTCAGTAGAATTATCACATGTGAATATCAGCGAATAAACATTCATATTATAAATGACACCTAAAAATTCTGGGAAGCAAACTAGTCTTATATGTTGGCAAAAAAAAGGGATTGTTCATAATTAAGAAGAAAAGGTTAGAATTCCATCTATAAAAGAGAAATAAGAAAAACTAGAGCAGAAAATGAAGATAGAAGAAAAGACGGGAAACAAAGAGTTAAGAATGAAGAGATGTTTCATTTGATTTAATTGAACCATATGGTTCTTAATTAAATCATAATCGATTCAATCAAGGTTCACCTGATCTAATTTGAATAACGAAAGCCTAACTCATCTAGTGTTTGGACCTAGCAGCTTAGCCCACGTATTAATGGGTCGAGTTTGGGTACAGGTATGAGTATGGGGTGGGGAGTGCTCTATCCGTCCCCACCTCGTATTTGCACAGGTAATATAAAATGCCCCCCACTCCTGTCCCCGTTTATTTTCCCCATCCCTGTCCCATTAGGGGCAGGTTCCCACAAGTCCTCATGCCTGTAGGTATGGATAATAGATGGATGCAAAAATGTAGATGCTAATACAAATATGGATAATAGATGGATCCAAAATTTTGAAACCATATTTGATCAAGACAGCTATGAATATGTACCACATACAAATGGATAGATGAAAGGCACAGATATAGATCAGATGTTGGAAAGATAAAAGTAAAATTTGGTGTTTGGATGGGCTCCAATGGAATTCTGAATTGATTGATTTAGATGAATATTAATGGAAATTAGATATAATCAGCAAGCAAGGAGGTCAGATTGTAAAGTAATTAGTGTAATGCATATATAAATACACATATATAAACAGATTTAGAAAAAGAACGTTTGGCAAGTTCCAATCAGCTTGTTGTTACAAAAAAAAAAAAACTTTGGTAGATGGATTGACTTGAAAAGATCAAGTCAATCCTATTTTAAAAAAAAAGGTTTGGATGCTATTAGATGTCCCAAATCTGATCCTAATTTAAAAAGTCTAATCAAATTCATACCTGAAGATTTGGGTCCCGTTAATATCTGAATCTGAATATCTAATCTGATGCTATCCATATCTGGGTCCAAATTCTGACAGATATTAACTAATCCATTTTCAACCCTAAAGGATAGGTATAGCAGATGTAGAGTGCAGACGAGACATTCTGTGGGAGTGTGCACAGCTGAGTTTTTTCCTTCTTTGTTATAACTTTTGACCTGACTTGTATATTCACTTAATCTAATATAGTAATTACCCTTTCACAAGGCTGTACAGACTTAAGAGGTTATATCTCCTTTGTTACTAATTCATGTCTATGAGGAAAAAAACTTAGATTGTCCTATACTTGGTCTGCTAAGCGTGTCTATTCCCTTTAGCTAGGCTATTATGTGATTCACAGCCCAATTAGATTGTCCTATATCCTTGTTTCTGATGTAGCTGGATCTTTTTTTCCCATGTGCAACAAGAAAATTGATTAGTACCTGAAGCAAGGCTGCCAACATGCATAGGGATACTTGCATGGATGCCAACAGGGCCACCTAACCATGATGCCAAACTGGAGGGATCTAACCTTGAGAAACAGCATGATGCAAAGGCATATTTTAGCAGGAACGGAAAATGCACAAACATTTCTATGGACCTAGAAAAGTTACAACTTAAATAGATGTAACTTATTTAGTTGTACAGCACAGATTGCATTTACTCCTTGTAAATGAATTTTTTGGATCACAGTAATTACAGTTGTTTTTTATCAACCTAAGTTTGACTTTCATATCAAAGGAAAAATCTATCTATATTCCTGGGATCATGAATTATTGCTTACAAAAAGACATATTTCAAAAATGTCCAATGTGCATGCAGGTGGCCTGGGGAAAAATTTCAATGGTTGAAGCAGAAAAGAGGTTATTGGTAAATGCACTTCAAGACACTGATAATCAGCATTTTGTGTTGCTCTCTGATAGGTGATTGTTAGGAGCCACATGCTGCTTTTTCTTTTCAACTGAGTGATGATGTTCAATCAGTCAGCATTTTATTTGTTCAATTTTTGTTTGCAGTTGTGTGCCACTACACAATTTTGATTATGTATATAACTATCTGACGGGAACAAATATCAGCTTTATTGACTGGTACAGCCATCTACATCATAGGAAATCTAAATATGTTTCCCGATGAATTTTCTATGCTGGCTTACTTTTATGTATCTTTCAGTTACAGACAAGCATATAATCTGAAGTCTCAGCTTTAGCAAATGACTTTTTTGCCTTATTTTCAGTTTTGAGGATCCTGGCCCTCATGGAACAGGCAGATATTCTGAAAATATGTTGCCTGAGATTGAAAAAGAAGATTTCAGGAAGGGTGCACAGGTACTATATACCACTACAATTCATCATAATGAAATTTACTGAATCAGAGTTCAAGATTATTGTGCTCAAGTGACATTTACATAATAGCTAAACTGTTGAACCATAAAGGGCAGTCAAGGTACTCTGAAAGTGACAAGATTAATCTAACTGTTTATACATGTACATATACATATGCATATGAGAACAGTTTAAAGCTTCTGGGTCATTTATATAGAAAAGAGATTAACCTACCCTAGGCTTTTTAGAGGTTGAATGAGACCAAATAAAGAGTAGGTTTGCCATTTCTCCATGTGATGATTAGAGTACAACAATTTGCTACAAGATAATCCTACTAATGACCGACGTACTCTTGGTTTGCTCTCATCTAAAAGACCACTGACATCTAAATCATTTTTCTAGGAAACATAACTTAGTAATTTCAGTTGCTCTAAAAAAAAAACCAAAATATTCTTGGTTCTTTAAAGATGTAATGACTCCAAAAATCAAGGGTCAGCAGGGTGCATTTATTCTTTAAAGAGAAATTGAATCCAAATTTAATTTGTTCTGACCATTATCTGAAACCAAGAAAAAAAAATGAAACCATGTTGGAGATGTTTTGTTCTGTTACTGAAACCCAAGAAACTTAAGAAAGCATGGATTAGATTATAAAGCCAGCAAACGAAGTTCAAGTGATTATAATGCCCTATATGTACACCTTCAATATGGGTTTGCAAGGCAAAAACTGTTGCTATATTTTTTGGTGATTAATAGTATTAATTTAAACAATATGTTGGTTGCTTTACATGATATTTTCTGTTTTACATCCTAGTTGTTGACCCTGTAACAGTGGTTCTCAATCAAGCGGCAACATGCTTTGCTAATTCTGGCTGATGGTGTTTACTATACAAAATTCAAGCTTTATTGCAGGGTAAGCTTTTATGGTTGTGATGAGTTATATTTTGCATGCAATACAATATAGCTCCCTAGAAACCTCCAATTGGGCTTTTATTCTGTATCAGTAAATTGTCATGTTCTGTCAACTAACCATGGTTTATCCAAAAGAAGAGCTTCTTTATCATTTGCGTATTACAAATCTTCCTGTTTAATGGGATATGTCATTCTGTGTTACTAATTATCATACTCTATTGATAGACCATGGTATATCTTAACTTTTATCCCCAAAAGAGAGCTTCTCTATAATATGATAAAGCAACATTTCCCAGAACATAATCACTACAGTACATTGTGTCTACTGGTTGCTCATCTTGTAAATGGCATCAGAAAGTAAGGCCTGAAATGAATCAGTAATTTTCTTGGTCAGTAGTCATTAACAAAATTTCAAGTCTTTTGGAATTGACAAGCTAGGATGCATGTATTCCCATATGAACAGATGGAGAAACAATGTGGACATGGTAGTACAGAAACCATGATAGGACAATTTGAAAAAAAAAGAGTAAAATATGACATGACAGGGATGCAGGTTAACTTTTTATGTTTTCTGTATACTATTTAATAATAAGCAAAACAACTCATTAACAAACCAGAATTTTTAATAATAATTAAATAAGAAGCTAATCTTTATACAGGTAATATAGTGATCAATAAAGATTATCCTAGAAGTCATAAGACATATGAAGTGAGAATCTTTGAATCTAATCAATTAGTATAAACATCATTATACATATTAAAACGTTAACACTAAATGCATCTGAAAAGAATTGGGAGATGAAATGTATATTTCGGGTAAATGTCCTGTCATGACGGAAATTATCAGCTCCATGTGAGGTGTGTTCATCCACTAAAAGGGACATAGAATGGCCATTCCAGAGGTATGTCAAGCAAGTGTTGTACGTGTCAAAGTTGGAGTGTTGGATATGGATGTGACAGACTTACGGACTTGTTGGTTCTTCTAACTTACAAACTATATTGACCTTCTATATTGTTGCATAACTTTGTAGAGAAACAAGTGACATAATATCTGAGCTTGAAGCTTTAGTAATTGAAAATAGAAACAACGAGGAAAGGACAATAGAATTAAGTGAAAAACGAATCTGCATGAACGAGAAAGTCTTCTGTTCAACACGCTTGTATGTCTATATAAATTCATTATCCTCTATATAACCTTATGAGATAGAGGACATCTGTGGTCATATCTCATTATTCTAAAAGGATTTTCAACAAATGGTATACTAAGTATTAGGAAAGAGATTCAATCAACCTAAAACTTCAATATGTTTTTTCTAAGAACAGCTATTTAATATACATCGCCCTATACTTATAATAAAATAAAAGCTAATTAGTCTATAATTAATTGCAAAATAGTAACACAAACTGAAGATAAACACTTCTCAAATGAGATGAAACAACCACTGGGACTCTATTTCACATGCTGAAGTACGGTATACGATGGCCTAAAATGGTTTCTGGATTACTGAATTTTTAGAAATTGAATTATTAAGCGAGCCCTTGAATGAATTATGGAAGAATTATCAAGGTTCCTTATATATGGTTTAAGTGCACAGACCGGCATTTCAGTTTGCTTGAAAAGTCAAATAGCATCTTTTTGCCTCATGCTTTGTTCTTTGTTTATCCTTGTAGACATGATTTTGGATGTTCAAGCATATACTTCTTGTGTAAAGTTTGAGACACTACCTCCAAATTTACTATAGCAGTACTGCTATTTTCATAACCCTCAACAAAATTTGTTGACAGATGGGAGCAAGCTTATCATTATGAATACAGAACATGTACATGTTTTTTTCATTGCATTTGTCTCTTGCCCCACTTAAATGTTCTGATGCTAACATTTGTTTTGATTGTCACAGCCTGGAATGGAAGGACGCAATTGCTATTCTGATGAGCATTATCTGCCAACTCTTTTCCATGTTAGCAAATTAGTCTTCCTATTTGTAGCTTCATCTATTCTATTCTGTGATTGAGATTCATACCATTTACCTGTGATTTTTATTATTTTTCAGATGGTTGATCCTGGTGGAATTGCGAATTGGTCAGTTACCCATGTAGATTGGTCTGAAGGAAAATGGCATCCAAAGGCTTATAGGACTCGAGATGTTACCTTTGAGCTCTTGAAAAATATTGCAGTATGTTCAACTTTCTTTTGAATAGCTTAGTAAAGATATGCATATATAAAGCAATTTTTAAATATTAATGATGCTCTATCATTTGCAGTCAATCGATGAGAGCATTCATGTTACAAGTGATTCGAAGGTAAGCTCTGTAAATCTGCTCCCAGATGTCCTTCTGTCTTCTACTTCATAAAGATATATTATGATGGTCTTGCATTGTAAAGTATTAGGCAGTTATTCTCACGTTTCTATTTTCTACATTTATGTAAAATTATTCAGTTGCTAATATTAATCGGTTAGACATGTACTGTTGGATATTTAGGAGACAACAAATTCTATGTTGACATAGCAGATATGTGGATGCTGACATTGTGATATCTTGTGTTACCAGAAAAGATAGAAGATGCTTTGTAGTTGTAAAAAAGAGAAACCTGGAAACACAACAGTTTGACGAGGAACACTGGATTGATGGTACTTGGATCGTGTAAAGACTCATCCTCAGAAGAGCCCGGTATAGGAAGGAATTCATGTGTCTGATCTGAATTAGTCAGGAACTGATGTTTTTGTTTATTAAAATTTATTAGGTAGGTAGTCATTAGACTCATTACCAACTACCATTCTTTAGGCGGCATCTGAATCTGAAATATACATGTCAGCATGCATGTATCTGGCAAAGTGAAAATTTTTCTTCCACCTTGTCACAAGCTCTCCCAACATTCACTGTAACCAGTCCATTCTAATAAGAGTTAAGTTCCCTATGAATTCAGGTTTTTGATGAAGAACCATGACTGCAGCAATTACTTAATGGTTGTTGCTTAGGATAGAGTCACTTCTTTGGAGTCATATGAGGAAAGAGGTGTAATCATAATCCTGGAGTCCTACTCCAAAAGATAACCAGGACTACATTCTCTATGGACAAAGAAGAACTACCAACACTTAATGCTAGCAGGATAGCTTATAATATGACAAGGGTTTGCAGACTAAAATACCATAAATCTGAAACAGATGACAATGGCAGACAAATGTTCAACTATAACTAGTTTAAAAATCAAATCATAGAAAGGTGGATTTTCATGATAAAATGGAGTTCACCAAAAGGCATCTCTGTCCATAGAAATAAAAGATTTATGGTGGTATGAAAAGTGACTTTCATAAAATTTTTCAAACCATGGGAACGGCAGGCAGTTAAACGATGTTCAAACTGGGAATTTAAGTATAAACTTTTGAGCAACAGGTCTTCTACATTAGATCAAAGTTGAATTGATCTCAAACACTTTGATGTAAATCTCTTGATTATTGAATTCTTCTGTAGTGTATGCATAGGTGTTACATCTCTTGATGTAGATCAAAGTTACACTAGGCAGTTAAATCTCTTGTTGTAGCTCAAGAATTTGATGTAGGTTTGTAATCCTTGATGCAATTTCTCTTTGTTTGTATTCACTGACCCAAAATTCATTAATAATTCTTTGTTCATTTTGGCATACTACCTTACAGAAAGTAGTTCAGAAGAGACCTTGTCTATGGAACGGGGTGAAGAGGCCATGCTATTTATTTGCTAGAAAATTTTATCCTGAAGCTCTTGACAATTTGATGCAATTGTACTCCAATTCCATTTAAGTGACTCATGGAGAGATGCCAATTGTTGGTGGAGCATAACTCTTCCACAGCTACCCCCATACCTATTGGTCCCAAGTTTTATGCTAGTCTTAGATGCAGAACCATGGAATCTGGCTTATTGAAGAAGCAGGCGATCGTTGGAGCATGAAGCAGATCTAGTCCCGTTGACTCCGCCAACTGAATGCCACCACGATCACCTCTTGGAGCAGTGAGCTAAGAAATTTTCTTTTCCTTCTTTACTACACTAATGGTTTTTTGTTAACTTACTCGTAGCCTTCCAATCATTCCTTTTGTGGATTCTGCTCATTTGAACAGAAATTTATCAGTCTCTATGATGCGTGTCAGGTAATAGCAGCTTTGCAGATGAGAAGCTACTTTGAATTAATGCTCTTCTTATAAATATTAATAACCAAGCGAATTACTCTTTGTGTATGTATTCATGCATTGCAGCCACTAATGGCCGGAGTCGCAGAAACCCAAGTTACTTGGGTATGTAGAATCCAGCAGTTTATGTTTAGTATTCCTAATTAGGAAATGTATGAAAAATTCTCTATTTGATTTCCCCCAGTTTGAATGCTCATCTCATTCGACCATCAAAATCCAAAGATGGCGCATCAAATAAATACACGTAGACGGTTGTCTCTTTCTTGCCAAATTCTTTGATTCGGGTAACATGAAAAGTGTTGGGGAGATTAACAACCCCCATCTGGAAAGTAGTGGGGGTTCTGCCACTATCCGGCTGGAATTACTGCTACCAATTTCCTATCCGAGGAATTTATTCCTATTCTGCCCAAGCCGACAGTACCATTGTTTCGATTCCAGAGAGAATGCCTTCCAAGGAAGCAAGAGGACACAGCACACAGTGGGTCATAGCACCACCACATGCAGGTTTGTTCATGCTGCATCTCGAGATTTTTGTGTGATTAAGTTACAAGCTGTGACAACACTGGCAGTTTGGGGAAAGCTTTGTGGCTGTCCATATTGGTTATTAGGTAACAAAACGAGAGGCACCAAAAGGAACCAAAAAAAAAACCAACATTGAAAACGCAGCCAATACACAGAATTTATGCGGCTAATAAGTGAAACTAACAGCTCCATTCCTCTATTTACATTCCCTGGACAGCGGGGCACAGCAGCTAAGTTATATGCAGAGCATACACCTGCACATGAGAGCAGAAAGGATCAAATAACCAGCTAAAAGCTGCTACAATATTGATATTCCAATAATAATGCATCAGTTTGTTGGTTAACATACTAGTTTCACCCTGATAAAACATGGATACTAAATTAGGGTATCAATATGACCGGACAAGTTTACATGGGGGTATATGGCAACTCTCTTGAAAAAACAACAGAACTAATATGTCACAGATATAACAATAAAAGTAACAGATACACACAAACATATGCACACACACACACACACACAATGGACGGACAGACACAGAGACACGGACGCATGCACACAATGGACGGACACACGCATGTCCGGATGCACACAACACCAACACACACGGCATACGCACACAATTAATTAGAAATTAGAGCCATGATAGAAGTGTACGACACGATTGAACTGCAAATTGATATCCGATATAGACGTACTCCACCCAAGTTCTACCTAATGTGATACAACCATCATAATGATGCAGAAATGCATAAGGAAATATTATGTTTGAATAAACATATTGATCTACCTCTGGGAAGCAAATGTTGTCACCAACCCAGCTGTATCCGTCGGTAGAGAATGATCACTCTTCATCATCAGACTCTGCTGATGCCTTCTTCGGGCTCTTCTTCACAGCATGTGGAGAAATACCTGTAGTTGATTTGTATGTGTTATAACAAGAATCACATATCAGTCCAGTGCAGAACCATCAGGACTTGTCCAAAATATCATGCTTTTGAGATAGAAGCTTATTGCTTTGCAAGGCGCTTCATGAACATTAATTGATGCAAGCACTAAAGCCTTGAAACATGCATTTTCCTACAGCATTGAACAGAAAGAAATTATGGTGACAACTTAATTTACCAAAAAGATCTTTTCTTTTCTGATATCAACCAAAAGAATTCTCACGAGCAAAGATCGCAATAAATCCATCACCTTCCACAAAGTAGGCTGACGAAGGCCACCCGCGGATGTTCGTCAGCGACATGGTCTCCTCCTCCGTCAGCGGGTTCGCCAGCTTCCGCACCACCTCTAGCACTCCGACGGTACGCCGCGGTGGAGGAACCCAGTAGGAGGAGCCGGGGATGAAGGGGAGCCAGTCCGGGGCCGACCTGCGGATGGAGATCGCGTGGATGGCGTCCTCGAGGCGGCGGAGGCCGAGGACGTCGATTTCGACCTCGTCCTCGACCTCGCCGGCGTCGTCCTCGGTGCCGACGTCCACCTCGACGATCCGCGCGTCGGAGCGGCCGCGAAGGGCCAGGAGGCGGGCGGAGAAGGGGAGGAGAGCGGATTCCGCGGCCACGAGGAGGCGATGGGAGCAGTAGGGAGATCGGATTAGGGCTCGAGAGAGGATTCGAGCCATCAAAGAGAGAATTGGGGGAATTGGATAAGAACATCAGCTGGGTTATCTTGTATTATATAACGCTCCTTGCACAAGCAGGATCTACGAGTGAAGCTTACGCGCAGGATTTTACAGTTGTCTTTGTTACGGAGTAGTTATGTGGGTCCCTGTTGTTGCGGGTCCCAGCAAGTGACTCAGACAGTCCTCCGAGGATTAAAATCGACGTCTGATATATAACACCTGACGCACGAATAGAATACACGTTTGAACCTTACGCGCAGGAGTGTTCCGTCGTCATTGTCACCGAGCAGACATGTGGGGCCAACATGTCGCGCGTCCTTACACTCGACCGGAGAAAATTTTCCGGGGTGATTAAAATCGACGTTGTGCTGCATAACGCAACGCGCACATGCAGGATCTACGGCTGAAGCTTACGCGCAGAACTTCACCGGTGTCTTCGTCACCGAGTAGATATGTGGGGCCTGCACATAAAGCGAGAAGGTTTTTTGGGGTCAATAAAACCGTCGATGTTGACTACTCACTTTTTGTCTCTCTCTGCTTCGGTCCACTCAGCGAGCAATTGTCTTCCCGACGCCGACCTCGAATCGGGGGACGAACGTGCCGGTGAACGCCACGGTGGCCTCCTACATCCTCGAGTACAGCAGCAGAACCCTGGCCATGAACCGTGAGTGAGAGCATCTAAGTTTTCTTACCGCCAAGTGTTTGATAAAATTCCCGTGTCTGGGGCCGGCCTCTGTTTTGATTTCGATGGTAGTTTCTGTCGCTCATTTGTGCATCCATGCTCTCCATAGTGTAGTTATGAGGTGGTTGAACGGCGGAAGAGTTAAAGCTTCCGCTTTCTGCATTTGTCATGATTAGTTCGACTTTACTTGTGTAGGTTTCCACAAGCTTCTCTTCCTTGATTGGCATAGTTCTAGCTGTAGCATCAGCACTGTAATCTTGCCATTCCTAGCTTCTACAGACAGACGTTGCAACTTGTTTTGCTTTGTTTTTATCTTTAGGCTATGGGGTTAGGAGGAATAATAAGATATCATCTGAAAATATTGCATAATAGGATGAATTTTCTACTTTTGTCATATTCTTATCACCTAAAAATATCTTACTAATTAACAGCAAGAATGCCTCATTTAAGATGGAGTTGTTGGGAGATTGTTGGAGTTCAGCATTTTTATTCTTTCGCTCACAATGCATAGATCTTAATCTTATTCGGTACATTCTTGCTGTTTCTTTTCTGGAAGCTCAGTATGTGATGGTTCTGATAAGTGGAGGAGTGCCTTTTGCATTTGCCCTGCATTTGGAGAGGTCTTGTCGATTGAGATCCTTTGAGATGCAAAAGATTTACTTTGAGGTCTGTGATAGAATTTAAGATGAATTAGTAACATTATGTCTGAGATAACTTGTTCTTTGGGCAAGGGTTAAGTTTAGGGCTGGGGATAAGAATGAAGAGTATTAGTGCTTAATTGTCATGGTTTGTCATCGTCATGCTTCTCTTTTTTTTCAGACAATACAGCAAAAGTTGCAGGCTGAGTGGAAATCACCATGACTCCTAAGTCACTGAAAAGTGTTTGGAGTAGCTGAAGCACGAACATCTAGACATCTAGAAGGTGTGCCATTTGGTTGCTGTAATATGATGAGGATTTCCACCATAAGAGTTACTGTCCAAATTAACCTACTTGATCTCCTCTCAGATAAGCCACTAGTTGGAATCAAGATTCTAGCCAGTGCTCCTTATTATATTCAGCTTGACAGCTTGTGTGTGTGCTAATTCTTAGATCACACTGTCATATTTCTACCACAGAGCTCTGTGAACTAGTCTCAGAAAACCAATTACTTGGCATCTGATTCTAGCCAGTGCCCCTTGTACTCAGCTTGACAAGTTCTCTGTGTGCTAATTTTAGATCACTAATATTTCGACCACAGTGGTTTGACGTCGTAAATTCTTTTACTGGAAGGAAAACATGCCTTTTGTTTGTGAAATTATCGGTCGAGCATAATCCGTGTCACTATTATAGATTTACAATCTAGATTGTGCAACACCATATTGGTTTGCATGTTTCCTGTTATTTATCACTGTTTGCAGATCTGGATTAAATCTGTATTATGTTTTGCCAAACTGATGATTTTTTTGGTGGAACTTTGAACATATCAACCAAGATGTAGATTGGGTTAGCTCTGAAAGGAAAAGAGTTTGCTTTGAGGAGCTGAATTAACATGTCAATCAAGAGCTTTGGGATCCCTTTGGGATCCCTCCTGTTGACCAAAAGATCACAAGATAAGAAAATTTTCATGTACTGCATACTTGCTTGAAACTTGGATGACAGAGAAGTGCAGTGCAGATCTTTGATTCAGCATCAAAGTTGATGTCATACATCCATGTCAAAAAAGTGATTGGCACACAACAGCAACTACAATCTAGTCCAAGGATGGGAAGGCTGGAAAAAAGAGGAGACTGCTATGATTATTAACTAGAAAAAGTACTTATCCCTGTGGATTGCTGCATGGTAGAAAACAAACAAGAGAGTTAAAAACTCAGAGAACTTATAGGGCTCCTTGGGCTATCAAGATCTGCAATTGCTGCCTCAATCTTTTCCTTCACTTGAGCACTGCCCATTTCATCAGTCTGCAACACATAATAGTTCACTTCAGTCAGCTAAGCTCATAAAAGGCAACTCCAAGAACTCAGACATGAAACAAAAATTTGCTAGTTATTGGTGGATTTTGTAGACTATATGCAGCCAGGTAGATTACATAAATTCTGAACATTGCAATACTTGGAGGCCTTTTTTTTTATTATTTTCTGTCATGTCTCTTTTCAAAGATGGAGAAGAAAGAGATTGATATGAAATGAAAGGATCAGTAAAAGGATTCACTAGTAGACAACCGAGGCATGGAAGAAACCAAGATTCAACAAGTCCTGACATTGAATGATGCTGTCCACTTGTTCTCACCACAAATGAAAAAGAAAGCATCCATTTGTTGAAGGACTTGTGACAAACAAATCCTTTTCAACCATGTGAAAGGTGTTTGTGTAGAAGCTAAGTCTTCCTTTTGGTAAAATGACCTAGCACTTGTTCCTGCTGTGTGGCAGAAGAAAGATCCTAGAAGAAGAATCATATGATAAACGAGCAGAACACAGTGGAGAGATTCATCTGCCACTAAAAACAGCTGAGTCATCTCCCATGTTTGAAAATAACATGGGGTATAAAGTTCAACATACCAAACAAAAAGGGAAAAGGAAAAGGGAAAAAGGCATGATTAAGCATGTCATGTATTTTGAATGGATACTGTGCTTCCAAAAGGATGGCAGGTGCAATTTCCAGAGTACCAACTTGATACAACTGTAGGTTGTCATGCAGAAGAACACTGACAAACCCTAGAAAGTTTCACAGAATTGATGGTTGCCTCCATGTGAAAGGAAGCCACAGCAACCTGGGAACTTCACAGGGCTTGGGTTCAACAGTTCCCATGGGTAACTCTCTCATGTACATAAATGCATTTAATATCTGAAAGGTCAATTCGAGCATTCTCTCAGTATTCTTTGAGGTTTTGTCCGAATTGTTGCTTATTCGGACTGTCCATGTGTATACGTATGACCATGTCCATGTCCATGTATGCATGTTTGACTCACATAAAACAACTGATGGCACGCCAGAAACACAGAGAGAGAGAGAGAGAGAGAGAGAGAGAGAGAGAG